CCCCCCCCCCCCCCCCCCCATAATGCTGTTCAATCTGCAAATCCTGAACGTTTTTCCTTCCACTTTCTTCGAACTTTTGATGAAAGCGAACTTATCGGGGCATTGGAGCTAATCCTTTGAAAGACATTGTGCAAACAGTAGTGCTGACTATAATGGGGCGCTAAAGCCCAGCTTCCCAGAACCGCAGAAAGTGATTAGCAATGGGAAATAAACTAATGCTACAGGCTGACAGCTTCCTTTTGCTGTACTGCATAACAAACCATATATATGTCCTTTAAACTTGAACACTCTTGGCAGCTGAAACGGCATCCTGCACTGATGTTGCGAGGCAAAATAAGCCCATAATCGAGTCCATAGTCTGAGCTTTTCCATTAGAAATGTGAAGTGATTTTCATTTCGCATCGATATCTTAAAAGGGGATATTCAAGCTAGTGAAAAAGGGAAGGCAGATTGGTTAAGAATTTTTTCGGTTAATTGTCAGGTCAGGAATTTGGAGCCATTTAGGAGCTTTCAGGTATTAGTGAAGATGAAAAAGAAGAGCGACGAAAAGTGCAACATTCGAAAGAAACCGATTTCTTGCGTCTTAAAAGAACTCGGTTGGAAGTCACAGATTTTGAAAGCCTGAAGGTGATTGGACGCGGAGCGTTTGGCGAGGTACTTCTTTAGCCTTTCTTCGAATGATGTTTGCTATGAAGTCTCTATGTTACTGTCGTTTACAAAGTGTTAGATATCCTCTGTCTTAGAGCTTCCAATGAAAGCATTAAATGACGTAACGTCGTTGCGTATGTTATCAATAATTGAATCTCTGATGTTGGGAAAAGAGATATCTAAAATCTCCTACTCCCCTTCCTTCTAGAATTATCTGTGAACTCATATGCAAACATTTTTTTTATCTCATTCTCAGAACCCTGCGCGCCTTCTAGCTCTTTCACTTTATCCTTTTACTTTTACTTACTTTTTTAGGTCCGGCTTGTTCAAAAGATCGACAGTGGCCATATATATGCAATGAAGATACTCCGAAAGAGTGAGATGTTGGAGAAAGAACAAGTGAGTTATCTTTTGTTGTATCCTCTTTTGACACCTCCTTCTCTAAATTCAATACAGACTGCCCACGTCCGAGCTGAACGAGACATTCTCTCTGAAGCTGATTGCGAATGGGTAGTGAAGATGTATTATTCATTCCAAGACTTTGCTAACTTGTACCTCGTTATGGAGTTTCTACCAGGAGGTATGACTACTCTCTTATTTTCTTTATTTTACAGTACCCCTATGAAAAATGTTTGTTCGATCATGTGAGTGGAATTACTTTGCGAAATTTACGGGGAACCCCATACAAAAGCGCGTTGCTTTACAGTTGCACGTACAACTCTCATCGAGTCCTGTAGAATGCTTGATTCATGGCAATTTTTTTGGATATTATGAAGTGAAATGCTCAATAGGAAAGAGGGTAGCATTACGCGATATTCTCATTATGCAGCAGTGTCTACTCAATACAACTCGCTCCCACTTTTCGGTCCTCCCACAACTGGTAATGTAACTTACCATCGTCCAATCATCCCACCTAGTGTTGGTGGCTTCCCTATCTCAAAGTCTTTCCAGCTCCTGAAAAAAGCCTGCCCTCCCAGTTCCCCTGTCTTACTTAAACGAAAATCTTCAAAGTTCAAGCTTGAAGTTTAAGGTGATATGATGACTCTACTAATCAAGAAGGACACCCTCAGCGAAGAAGCAGCCCAATTTTACATCGCTGAAGCAGCGCTTGCGATTCAGTTCATCCACAATCTGGACTTCATTCATCGTGACATCAAGCCTGACAACCTTCTCCTGGATGCCAGAGTACGTGTCGAAGTTTTTTGAGCATGTCACTGGTATAAAACAGTGTAGATTTAGGGTCACGTTAAATTGTCGGACTTTGGATTATGTACGGGGCTGAAGAAAATTCATCGTACAGAGCATTACAGGTACCTCACCTAGTCACGTTAAGCTACAGGTTGTAAATTGATTTTAGTTTGCTTCATATTACTTTCTAGGAACTGGCCTTCTCAGCTACCCCCTGATTTTGTCTCGAAGCCAGTCGAATCAAAGCGCAAGGCCGAAACGTGGAAGAAAAACCGCAGAGCATATGTACGTTCATTTACTACTTATTAAGTTTTTCATTATACGAGATTGTTTTCAACTACCGCTCCATGTTCAAAGTTCTAGCAAGCATTTTCTGCCTACTTAACTACATATGTAATCTTTTTTGAGTGTACTTGGAATCTGTAATCTACGTCACTAGAAAGTACTTGTAGTGGGGCATTATATCTTATCACTAGAAACAGTTCAACGTTGTAGTTTCAAGTTTTCTCGACTTGCGCTAGTTCAAAAAATACCTTCCCCTTATCTCATCATATCTGGCTTTCATTTACGTGTTTATTGTTTCTTTAATTCATTTTCAAAGGATTTAAACACTACTACTTTATTTTTAAAGGATCAAAGACTAAACCCCTTAGGAAAAACATTCGAAAAGTTTCCTATTCAGTAAATCGCAAAGAAGGCCTTTTTGGGAAGTGCCAGCTTTCAACCGAAATGTACTTAGTGACCCTTAGTTCACAATTGTGAGTAAGAAAGGTTGAAATATAGTATTGATTGTTTACTCCAAAGGCAGGTCGTATGAGCATCACGAGCTATTGCATCTTACTGTGCTGACTTTGATAAAACGTGATTTATATGGATAAAGTAGTATATCTCATACCTGGTGAGCTAAGGCACGGCTGGCATATGCTGTGCTCTCAGTTAAATTACAGACCATGTTTTCTTAGTTTCAATATGCTCTGGTATCTCAATTTCATCCGTTATTAAGGCGTATTCCACCGTTGGTACTCCAGACTACATTGCACCGGAAGTGTTTCAACCAAATGGCTATACAAAGAGTTGCGATTGGTGGAGTCTTGGTGTCATCTTGTATGAGATGCTCATTGGTGTGTTTTATTCTTCAGTCTTGAAACAACTTCTTCTGTTTTGTTTTTGATTCCTTTCTATAAATTTTCATTCCAATTATTTTCAGGCTACCCACCGTTCTGTTCCGAAACTCCCCAAGAGACATATCGTAAAGTCATGAATTGGCAACAAACACTAGTTTTCCCTCCAGAAATGCCTATCAGTGTTGACGCAAAAACGGTTCGTTTTTTTAACTAATATAATTATGATTTTTTAACCAATATAATTATGTATTATGCCTTTATGCAGTATTTATAGACGATCAAGCGATTTTGCTGTGAACCTGAGCGTCGAATGGGTCACAATGGGGGGCTGGAGGAGATCAAACAGTGCATATTCTTCAGACGTATCGATTGGAACCATATCAGGTTCGTTGAGCTCTCGGAAAGTTTTACTTTTTTTGTTGTCTGTTCTGCCCGTTCGACAAATTTGGTATTTTTTTTTTTTACTTTTTCAAGTTACTTTATTCTCGAAATTTTCTCTGCTGTAAAGTTTATATCATTGTGTGGGAACTTACTCTTAATCGAGTAGTAAGTTCTTCTGGAGATACATTGACTATTGGTCGTGTAGTAAAAAATGGTGAGGTGGATTGAAATCCATTTCCTAATCCTGGGAGATTGCTTTTCTATCACTGCATCAAATTGAAATTTTGGCCAAAGTACATGCTCGACAAAAAACCAAAACGGAAGAATCCCTACAAACGATTTTTTCTCATTCCATTCAGAAGTATACATTTGAGTTGCAGCGTTTTCTTTTTTTCAGAGAGCGCCCTGCACCTATTCGGGTAGAAGTGAAGAGTATAGATGATACCAGCAACTTTGACGATTTCCCAGACGTCGACCTCCGATGGCGTAAGTTGCACCAACTTTGTTTCGACCAATTCTTTTCTTATATTGCGCTGCCAAGCATTTCCTGCCGTTTCTTGGGTAAATCAGAACGGAACAACTTTCCAGCTGTTGTAACTGTGCCACCAAAACCAGAGGAACAACCTGGTCATCGTGGAGAATTCGTCGATTTCACCTACAAACGATTTGATGGCCACACACAAAAGATGCGCTACAGTGAAATGCACAAAGTATGTTTATATATTTGTTATTATATTTAAAAAACGTGAGCCCTGACATTTTTATTTGATGAACCATTTTTGCCCTCAAGTTTTCTGGGATCTGGTGGTACTTAAGGTATTTGTATCATTCCGATTACTCGTCAGCTCTAGTTGGGTTTCATTATCTGTTTGTGCAATATTTTTAAAATTTCTTGCTCGGTTTTTTAAAATAATGATAGTTCTATTATAAAACCCCTTTCAGCAGCCTCGTGGTCCTGGAGAGGGGACGCAAACTGCAGTGTAAGTTTGCCAGCTACAGCTTATATCTCATGTTATCGATTGTGATCTAGTTGCCTAACAAAATTATAACCAACTGATGTGAATAGTTTCTTTTTTTACGTGTGCAGTTTTGAACTACTTTTTACTGTATATCATTCCTTGTTTTATCCGAAAATTGCTATTTTGCTATTTTAAAATAGCGTCAGTTCGTCATTCATCGAATGAAGCACCAAGTCCGCTTAGACTTTCCCTCATCCTTTTTCGATTGTGCGGCTTCTTGTTTTGGAGAATTCGGCTTTATTCCAACTTAGATGAATGACGGACTTGAAGCGGTTCAAAATCCGCAAATTAGTTTTCACAATTGGGAATCAAAATGATTAAGTACAACGGCCAAAAAACCATCTTCTTAATGTTCTCCCATACCTCGCATGTATTTGTGGGCCCATCATGAGATGTTCAAAGAGTTTTGCTCGATGCTTTGTCATATTTTCTTCATGTGAATATAGAATTGCATGTTTATACATTATTGGCATGTTAAAGGCAGCTCCCAACAGGTTGTCAAATTAGTTTGTTCGTTTTTTTGTTTTTCGAGGATGGTGTGAACTCCTGCAGCAACACGTACTCATACTGTTTTTTAGAGTATTTTTACATTTTCTTTTCAATAATTTTGGCCTAGTAATTTGTAACCGACATTCTCTTTTTCGATTTCAAACAGGGTTGGGGAATGAACGTATTGTGTGAGACCGGAGTGGTTCTCTTAAATTCAAGACGGGGAGGTTCAGCAGTTGAGTCTTTCCTTAAAACAGTTTTTTTCCGGGCCATTCGAACCCGGTTGCATTTGATTTCAATTGAAAGCGAAACTTTCAAGAATGTTCGTTTTATTGATTTGCAGGGTAGGCCGCGGTATTATAATTTGATATAAAGAATCGGAAAGTGCGCGTATTGCATGAATCGATACAACGAATCGATAAAACAAGTACATTGCTGTATGATAGTTAACCTAGCTTTATCTTTACTTACTTTTGAGTAATATGCTGAATCTGAAAAACGGACCTACTTATCTGACAACCTTTTAGTTGCGTCACTTTTCAAATGTCTTCTCTATTTGCCACGATTCGCACTTTTTCAAATGTAGTTTGACTTCCATGAAAGTATGTCTGATTGTGCCATTAAGTAAGCGTGGACAGACTTGCATTTGACTGCGTCGAGTTGTTGCGTCACTGAGTTGGCGTCGCTACATGCATCAGGAATCCCCGCCCACAACAGTAGGTACGAGTTCACCCTTCCCTCTTTTTTTTCCAACTTTTGCTTACTTTGTGACTTGTAACTATTTGGGAAGGGGATGAGGCAAGTCCCAAAACTACTGCAATGGTATGGGAGGCCATAATATCAAGGTCCAAGGTCGACTGTGCTTCCTAGCTACCACGCTTTGAATGAGAACGGCACTGTAGGTTCATCGAAGTCCAACTACTTTTTAGATAAATTGTTCATGAGTTGTTATTACAGCGTTCTTGCTTGAACTTTAATTAGCGACTGTTCAGTAAAAACCTATTGGCACAATAGCACTTTAAGAGCTCAATATAAAGCACTTGAATGTGTTCTTTTTAAAAGAAATCCTATCATGTGATTCTGTCGATTCTTTGTATAGTGTGGTCGTTGGAGGGCATAAGCTTATCCCACTGAAATCGTATTCTATTCAATAAATAATTTATTCGCTTTTAATATCTTTTTTATTATCACAACAACTGGTTCTGCCCAGTTTTAACGCATGAGCACGAATGTATCACAGTGTTAAGGTGCTGGAAGGGGTGGATCCGAACCGCTAACGTCTAGCTCTGCGTCTAGCTCCGACTCGGGCAAAGTTGGTATAAACTGCGACGCATTTACGTACGATAGTCCCGTCGTTTCCAGAGCTACAAACAGTAAGCAGTAAGAGTAATTGTTTTGTATGGCACTGAAGATACTTTAGACTTACCTGACATGGCCGTAAAGTAGTTTGAAGTTCTCGCCGAAGACGGCTGAGCTTCCAGTCCCGAATTTATATTACTGCAAGTTAATCGGGCTAGATTGATTGCAGGGGTAATAACATAACGTAACGTCATACACCCACTCACCTTTCATTTGGGAACGGGTACCTAGTTATGTCGCTGCCATCTGTTGAATCGGAATCTTGGGTTGAGCCTGAAGGTGCAAAGAAAACGGGACGGCAAGTTTTTTTTCGAAGATTTGGTTAGAAATTTTTGGGTCTTTAGGTCCGGTAACCTGCCGTACACGACAAAGCGCACCAACGGCCGCATGAGCCTGGAGAAGCCCCATATTGGTGAGTTAGAGGAAAGGCGTACCATATTAACGGACCTCATACAGTACAGAAAGCCTTGCTGATAGCACGGCTTAACTTCCACGTAATACTGGTAAAAGCTCACGAAATCATGCGATTCATTTTTAAATTCCACTAACTTTCCGATAGTGCACTTAAGTCCTTGATCAGTCTCCTCATAGGCTGTGACCTTGAAATATATCCGATTGGTATGATGGGTTTTACTAGTAAAGGTATTTATTCGTCACTTACAATCTTGTTTCCGGCTTGGATACATTTACAAGTGTAGGGCTTGCCTTTGAATCCCAATCATCCGTCCTTTCACCGCTCATAGTGGTCTCTGGTAGGACTGGCCCTATAACTGGTAAATTGACTGGTCCAAAACTTCAGGCACAATCCGATAGTGGAGAAAAAAAGAACGAGAAGGATTGCGTAATGTAAAAAAAACCCCAAAGTAATCATGAGAGAGAAAGTCAAACTGATTACTTACCGTCGGAATCAATAGAGGTGTTCAGCTTCGGCGTGTCTGGGGGATGTCCAACTACAATTGGTGTTTTTTCACCTTTTGCACGAGTTTTTGTGGGTACTGATGGAGAACTTGACAGGCCTTTCTTCTGTCGCATCAATTGTAACGATATTTGAGTATGTTTAGCAAGGAGAGCCAGGAAAACGACGATAACCACGCTGAAACGAGTAGATCAGGTGAAAAAACCGTGAAAAAAGTAAGTTTTCAAGCACAAAAAACGCTATAGATACTTTTCGTGTGGTCACAAGAACAGATAAAAATTGTAAAATTGCTTCAAATGTTTAAGGCTTCAGAGCAACGGTGCATCATAAAAGAGATGGCGCAATGACCAGAGGCGCTGCTCACAAGATGTCAGCTCGTCGAGATCGAGTACAGTTGAGGATAATGAAAGTGTTCTACTGCCTCGATCCAGTCGAACTTGCAAATTGTCATTTGTCTGGAACGCGCCATGCAATCGTAATAGATCGGAAATATATTCAACCTACAAAGTATTGGCCAAGCGCGGCATCCCAAAAGGGACGCCTACTGGAAGACCAGGGTTACAGGATCTAAGGCAGTAAGTCTTGTAATGAGCTGGTACTCACACGACATTCAGATACATGACGAAGAGAACCCTGGTCATCGGATCCGTACGTAATTTGTGTAGGAACGAGTTAATCGACTTTTCAACATCCTCCTTTGACAGTGGCACATTCGCTTGGAAGTCGATTTTTCTACCAAAGAAATTTGCCGACACCGTACTCTGAATTTGCATTACTAGTAAACCAGTTACTACACAGTACAATCCCAGCATATTTTTGTCGAGTTTGGTAGGTTGGCAACACAATTCTGTCATAAAGGTAGAAAAAATCTTGTAACTTCACAACTCACATGGCCCTGCAAAAAGTCCTTGATCTTAGTGATGACGCCTGAAGGGCCAACAAAGAAGTTTCTGAATAAATTCAACTTAACTCTTGAAAAACGAACTTTCTGTAGACACTTTGTGCAACCAATCAATTGAACATACAAGTAGAATATACAGTACTATATAAAGTATAAATGTAACCAACTTAATCGAAGTAAACACTGAAACCACAATGGGTGGTATACGTATGGCATATCCGAACACTTTCACGATACGTCCACCCTTTGTTGGTGGCGGATTGGACTCCTGAATACTTTACAGGTAATTTCAAAGTTGTAGGTGACAGATCGTTCCAACTTCACTTGAATAATTGGTTGATTAGTCCTTCAGGGATGCCATGTATGCGTCATTGTCAGATTTGTAAAAGGGACTAATTTTGGGTATCTCCATTATAGAGGAGATGACAGCAGAAGTTCGGTGCTTTAAATATCCTTCTATAGAAAGCTATAACCAGTTCACCAACTTGAAGTTAGAGCAATGGCCAGGCTCGGGACTTGCGAAGAAGTAACCATGGCGTTGAGAGTGGCGGTGGTTACCATCTTGCCCCTATGACATGGGTCCCCTACTAAACGGTATGAAGTAAGGATTTTCAGTTCCGATTCGATTTCTAATGCTGATATCATGGAAGGACTTGGAACTACAAGCAAGCATTAGCAGCTAGAAGTCACCTGATTCCTCGTCAGTTCATAATTTTTCAAACTTTCAAAGCCAGCCCTGTTCCTTTACAAAGCTTTCTCAAAGACAAAAAGATGGTTCATTTTTGTAAGACTTGGTTATAGGGGCTTTATTGAATTTTTTTGGTTTCTGGTCCCTTGGCACCCTGAGCCAGAGGCTAGAATAGCTGGGCATAAGCGAAAACTTGATGACTTGGTTAATAATTCATGTTCCGAAATCAATAGGAATGCCCATTGAATATTGGGCATTTTCAGGAATAGAGGTAACTGCTTCCATTCAGACAAAAAGTTAATCCAGTAATTAATGTGAGACTAACTGGTTTCATTGGTTACCCTGTAAGAAAGGCTATTCAGTGATTCTTCTGGAAACTCCCAAATATTGGCAATCTAGAGTCCGGCAAGCTTTACCAAGATGGAGGATACGAGTTTATTATGAAGGTAGTCCTGCTATAACTTTTTTAGAAGCAAAATTCTGTGAGAACTAGGTGGAGGTGAAAATTAAAAGAGACATTCTATAAAGTAGAAATAAATTTCAACTCACATTTGATCGAATACGACGGATCAATGACTTTTCAGAGTCAGGTTGACGGCTTGGAGTTGGTAAAGAGTGGGAAAGAATGATTTGGGCCAAAATTAGAACTACGAGTAATTTCATTGCCCCAAATCTGTCTGAAAAACGGAAGGACACATTGGCAGGAATCCTGTGTTTTTCCAAATAGAAAATATTTCACTAATTCAGGTCAGTTAAACAAACGCATTTCTAACTACTGTACATAGATCAATGTGCAATGTGATGGTAAGATGAACAGACGGATAAAATCAAAAAAAAAAAGAAATGATGAAGTGTGCAAAAAGCAGGAAGGATATTGACACACGAGAAAACCCGTTAGGACGCCAAGTGGTGGGCTTGATGGGATCAAACTCCAGGTTTGAATTTGATCTTCATCAAACATTGCAAAGTTTATTTTGAACTTCATCTATTGACTACATTTGGATTTACATTCACAGATTTCAAATTCAAGTAAAAGTTTGCACTTGTACAAGTATGGGCTAGGAAGCGCCATAGCGGTCACCCCGGATGCCATGCTGTACGAGGTCCCCCCGATACGAAGAGCAATACAGTGACGTGATATCGGTATCGGTGGCCGTAATCCCAATGTCTGAATTAGATCTGCTCCAGTATAGGTTAAACGCATGAATATAAAGTTGAGACGTGGGCCCACTTGCAAAAGGTCAAATTCAAGACCCAGGTATGATCCCATCGAACAAATGCCTGCCAGGGTCAGTCAGTTTCTCGTGTGTAGGTGCACGCGCACATACCCTTTCTCCATCTTTTCGGATTACCCAAGTTTTTTTCTATTTTTCTTCTTTATCTATAGTCATCTAATTGATCTCTGCTAATGGAAAATAACACCAGTTTCCAATCAGTAGGCTCATACTGATTTTCAAGATTCGAAGATATATTAATTCTGCAATAAGCTCTTCATACATGAACTTGGCAGTTCTCCCCTTAACTTTTCAGATTATCTAAAGATCACTACATTCTAATGGGAGAACATCTTTGACTCTGCTTGGATTGCTGTAGAATTTTAAATCAACCCCGTTGCTGGCATCTTCTGAAAAGATACAAGGTGAGCCCTTTAAGGTTTAATGAACTGTAACCTCTAGTATGCACTGCGACATCTGGTTGAGACAACTAACTAGGTCGTTGCTCTGGATAGGACAACCAGCTAGGACTAGCGGTGGCACTGTGAGCGTATCACAGTACATCAGCTATTCAGAAAAGACGCTGTCGAGCACTGCTAACCGCGTTTCATTCCTGAATTCGATCCCCAGGGTCCGGGAGATACCCTGAGGATGGGAGGAAAGTGATGAAAACAATCTGTCTTCATCTTGAATGTCATCTGGACTTGACATATGAGGCGATTTTGCTCCAGACCTTGGAAATGGAGCATTTCTTGGTTGTTTTCCTTTTTGTATTGAGTAAGCACTAGGACAACTTCGGTCCCCATCGGTCCTTGAAGACGTAAAGGCAGCAAATTGGTAAAATGCCAACATCGTGTCTCTCAAACGACAGTAACCTCTGGGGACGGGGATGCAGGTGCAGTGCGATGGAAACGCGGAGGGAGTTCTTGGCCCTTACGTTGTAAGATTTAAGTAAGTCTCATCCCTGAAGAGGCACAATGCAGGGCTTTGTACAAGCTTCAAAAGAACTTTTCAAAACTTTCCTTGTCCTTAGGGACATCCATAGATGGAGATGGATTCGAGAAGGACAGCCGGCTATTGGAGACGGTGACAAATTCGTTTTTGACGTCATTCCGATCCACCAGAGCGTTTTCAATTACTTTTTACCTCAAAACTGATTCCCTCAATTAACACCCCTCAGGATTTTTGAACTCTTGGACTAATTCTGGTCCTACTGTAATTCATTGTACGGATCCTATCAAATATCCAGCAGCACCTCATTTTTAGGCGTTTTGTTCTTTAATTCGTAGGCAAATTCGTGCATATAGAGCTGTCCGTGGTGGCATCAGTCATTGTCGGGCATTTCACGAGACGAACGACAATCAACAAAACTCCCAACGGTCCGGTCCGCCTTATTGTTCAAAGCGTTCTTGGTGGACTTTTGCCCATTTCTCTACACTCTTCAAGGTTTTTGTCAATTAGCAACGAAAAACCAAACAACATGATCGATCTGGGCAACATATCCTCCTTGCAACCGTCCGTTTCTGCAAAGATTGAGCGGCATGTCCTCGGCCAAAGCCTTTTTCCATCAGGCTTCTTTCAAATTTTGCTTTCAATTTCAATTTTTCATGAGCCTGCCTAGTCTGCACGCGAAGCGAATGCAAGAATAGCCTCGGAGCAACTAGACCTAACTCGAGGCAATTGATTCATTTCATTGGATACTTAGCAAATTCGGCTACCAAATGTAAAACAAAGCAAATCAAACAAAACAAAGCAGTTACAAAGAGTCTGCATGAGTTCTAGTTAATGGAGAGGGTGGTGAAGGCAGGGTCGGTTTTATTTCTATAATACTAGACATATGTGATTTTGGTGAGCAACTTTTTGTTTATTTATCATACCATACCGCGTTTCCGAAATTTTCTGCTCACGGTGGCTATCCCCCATATCTATTTTTTATATTAAAATAATTGAATGCTTCTTTTTCCCGAAAGTTAAATCTCAGAAAATCAAATCTCAGATTCTTATCTTCCATAGCTATATGTCTGATCCCCTTCAATTCCTTGTAGACGTTGTAGGCATGACGCATCCTGGAAAGAGGAAACCAAGAGTTCAATGATTTCGGCAGATGTAAAACTATCAACAATGCGTTGAAGTCTTTTTCTAGCTTCAACGGAATGATTCTCCTTCTGATATAACAAGGTCTAGGGGGGAAGTCGACAAAGGGCAGCCGAACCGATTCCATGAACATCGGTCCTATGGACGTTTCGTCGGTGGATTTTTGAAACTGAGCAAAACCACTTATATCCCATACATCTTTGTTTCTCCTTGATTGGATTCGTCATTTATTTCTTTTATAAATTCTGCAAAATCTTTAAAGCAGCTTTGCTTTGTCGCTCTTCAATATGGAAACGATAAGTAAAACTGCTAATCCTCTTGTGAGATTCGCTCGATTTTAACTGTGAACTACACAAAGAAAGTAAATATACCCGATTGTCAGAAAGCTATTCATAAGGAAGACTCGGCTGGAAAAATTACCGCGGCTCCAGCTTCCTTGTCCATCTTGGGAATCTAGCAGAACAGCCGACTTTAAATGTTCTTCGAAGGATGCGCCATACTTTTTAAGTGAGTTTAAGCGAGGGTTCATTTCCTATTGTAATGACACTGACTCTATGAGAGATGGAACGGTTGGGTATAGTTGACTTGTCCGAGCTCGGATTTTCACTTAGGAACAAGACTTACGAAGTGCTGATCGTTATTCTGTGCGCGCTATTACAAGAAATTAGTTTCTGACACCGACAAGAAATTAGGGCAGACTTCGAAACATTGCTCATTCACTTCATCCACATTCACTGTTTGCAATTTGTCGTGTCGTCTGCTCTCTCCTATGACGCGGTGTCTCTGCGTCTCTACTCGAGAGGATTGGAGCGCATACAAGCAAACACCTAGTACTTGTAGTACTCTGATCAGTCGAACAAATGCAAGTTTTTTGCAGCTCCTTGTGAAAGCTTTTGACTTTTCACAACCGACATTTGCACTCACCATCCGTCCTTCATTTTTCATCTGTAGCCAGGTCGTTGTACTATTTTCTTCTCCAAATTTCCGGATTGTACTGTCGACACGTATATGTGTGGGATTCTCGGAGGTGTCCTCCGGACAAATTTGGGCTGAATTTGTCTCTCTCGGGCGTTGGAACGGTCTCAGCTGGTAGTAGTAGAAATCATCGGCAATATTTCTCAATATGTCCATACTTCTCGGAAGTCCGCTTCATTCACCGCAACGCCAGTTTCAAATGTCTTCTTCTTCCTAGTTTACCTGGTCTGTTGTTGTTCTCCCTTCTGTTCGGAGAGCTTCACACTTTTTCGAAAGAAGAAATGAATAATTCTGTACTTGTCCAGATCGGCGACTACCTCTCCGATCGTTTTCGTCAATTTTTCCCGGTTCTCTTCAATATTGACATCCCTAGACGTTTACAAGATTAATCAACAAGAATTTTTAGCACAAGGTTCTCTGACCTTCGAAAATACTAGTTTCTAGCTTATGGATTGGTCATTTATTGTTGTAGTGAAGGTAGTATAAGGGATTAAGGAGAAGAAAAATCATATGTGATGATAGGTTCGATCTTTGGTCTCACAAGTGTCCCCATAAGTGTATCCCCATGATCATGCGAGCGTGAACAAAGGATGAACTCCTCCTGAAGTGAAGAAGCTCTTCTTTGTGAGCGACAGCGCGGAAACCCAAATGTTATGTACGCTTCCCAAGGGGACCGCTTGCAGTCACCATCCCTACACTCCTCGCCTACCCCTCCCCGTACTGTTCCAAAGCCCTGCTCAGATTCTTCACTATGAAAAGGCTCGAATTCATAGCCGGAAATAGCCTCACCTTTCCCCTGGTAAGAGTCTCCCATGTTTTTCTTCTCCACTTTACCATTCTGGGCTCTCCAAGTACTACCAGTACGGGCTAGACCCGAAGCTGTTCTGATAGGAGTCCAGTATTTTCAACATTCTGTAATCGAAAAGGGGAATTCAGAAAGGACACTTTATTTGCTGGAGGTGAACGGTCAGATGATCCTCCTGTTTGTGGGAACTTCGACCGAATGTGGTGAATCGTCTTGTGTTCCCGAGAATGAAGATGAAAGAGGAAAAACTAGAAGAAAGCCATCTCTGTCTGTCATTTTCATCTACTGGAGGTGATACAAGTGTCTCTTGCTTCTGCTCGTGTTGTTCATGAAGTTGGAATTTATTCCCAACGAACCTGTGTATGCACGAAGTCACCCATTCAGTGCTGCTCAGACACACCGGTCGATAAATCGATAATTTACTCCAAAATATTTTTATAATATAGACGACAAGAATATGAGCTAAGTATCAATAACAATTATATCAAAAAAAGAAACAGAGCAAGATTTTTCAGTAGAAAAATCTTGTAAGCTCTTTTCAATCAGAAACAAATTTCAAGCCTTTCTTATCGTCATCAGACGACAGACAGACATATTTTTCATGAATTATCTGAGGAACAAGTACATGAAACTGTGCAGTAATGAACATACAACATACAGGATATTTAGTGAATTGTTCGGCTCATAGGAGGAATCGCAGTGCATCCGGATGTTGAGAGTTACACAAATTTTACAAAAAAAAAAAACCAACATTGAGGACGAAGGAAAGAAGGATCTGCAGTTGGCAGTGAAAAGGATTATGGAGATTCATAACAGGCACACTTGACTAGAAGTACGAGGCTAGAAGTCCGGTATACTGTAAACGTGCTATATTCGTGTAGCCAAATGGGAACAAGCGGAGCGTCCAAGGGGAAAAAAGCATAAAGCTCCACAGAGGAAGCTGGGGGATACCAGAAAGCACCCTTGGCAGATGGCCACCAATTAGCGATCGATTTGTATACTTATCAAGTGATCGCAGAAATTGTCATGGAAAAAAGTCCTCCTCGTATTTGTTCCTAGATGAAATGGGACCAGGGAACAGGAATATCCAACTAGTTAAGGTAAGCGTCAACCTGGCAAATTGCATATATGCGACACAAGATGGATTTAAACTCAATATCAGCACAGCAAAAAACCTCTGAAGAATTCACAGCGAGCACAATGTTCGCAGTAAGTGAATGTTGAGCCGGCAGTCGCGACGCGGTCAGTGCGGCGACTGTAAACGGCGCGGTTTACATTGCGCCGCAAAGGGTTTCTGGCAGATGCATATTGGCTATTACTTGAAAGTTGAGTTTAATCAAGCTGCTTGACTGACAGTCGTTCGCAATCACGAATGTGGAGCGTGCCAACTGATGTTGGCATTTTGGACCCGAAATGAAGCATATCTACAGTATACCGGCAAGTAGTTGTGGAAGTCCTTTCTACTGTTTAGTAAACAATTGAAAGTGACGTCAACACACACACACATAATCCTTGAATCCTAAAAGATCGGTGCACGATTCTCATATAAGAGATTTGTTTAGTAAACAATTGAAAGTGACGTCAACACACACACATAATCCTTGAATCCTAAAAGATCGGTGCACGATTCTCATATAAGAGATTGACGTAAGTGAAGTGAAGGCATGCAGCGGCTCGTGCTACTCGGGCGTTTAGACGATCCGCGGGGCGTACGAATCGCCGCCGGGCGACGAACGGAACGCAGAGAGCTAGAGCGACGGCATCGCGTCCAATTAGTGCAATTGCGTACAGAAAGACGTTTCTTAGGGCAATACCATATACATATATAAAATTGCATTGAGGAATGAGGATTTGGAGGCGATGAGATAGATGCTACCATTCAAAATATAAAAAATATATCTTTAAAAGAAAATATCACACGTAACATCTAAAGCAAATCCATTATTGCTGTATTGGTCCCGGAACAGGCGGATAATTCAGTTCTCTAATACTGAATTATACAAATAGTAATAGTAGTATTGATAGATATCTGTGGCAAATTACGGGATTTACTCGCGTTGCGGGTGATTGGATGAATGAATATATTTCAGGTGGGATAATAATGATACGTACATGAAAAGAATGCTTATTGATCAGACGTCATGCATTTTGCCCTCTTTGTTATCACAGTAGTTGTTCCACAACGTTTTTGCGAGTTCGTAACATGGTAGTTCACCGGCATGCGTTGCCACCATTCGCAACAAGAACACTCCGTCCTTCAAATAGAGGAGGATGAAGGAAAAAACGTCGTCATATGCAAATTGGCCAAGCAATTTCCTGTTTTGCAATTGCGGAAATTCAAAGCATTGACAAATGGCCAACGTTAACAAATCGCCACCCATTCATCATAGCGTTGAAAATGCTCAAAAGTTTGGGGAACCCTAAAGTGAACCCTGACTTTGAAAGTCCGCAATTGCACAAAATGAGCTGACTCGTCCACCAATCGATACGGTAAAAATATTGATCCGCTTTTGAGGTTGGAACGGTTCAAGAGAGAGGGCACTTGGAGTGTTTTGAGTTCAGTCAACCGGGAATAAATATTTTTTTATAAATAAAAATGCCAATAAGCAGTTACCTGTCGCAAGAAATGGAAGACGAATCGTCGTAACGACTGGGAATCGACCATTTTGTAGCCCTCAATGCCAGTGAGGTATTTGCCGACGAAATTCAATTGCCTTGAAATATGGCTCGATTATTCGTCGTCGTCGTCACAATTCGAATAATCCAATGTCTCTAACCAGTACCAGTAGAAACCCCCGTTGAGTTAGAATCTCAGGAAATCCTATTAGAAATGGGAAGATTCTATGAGGTGATTATCCCTTTCCTCCCTTTATAGCATTCAAAAGTCGGTTCCTTTTTGACATTTTCGTCGTAAACAAAAGCGTTTAATGAGTGCAAGCCTCTTCGGCTAATGGCGCACTTGTGTTGTCGGGAGGTCTCGCCTAATCCTATACGAGAAGGCTCATATAGAGTAATAAACAAGTAGGGCACCTAAGGTTGAAGTCAGGACAGGATGAGCCAGCCGTTGTTCCAGTTTGTCAAGCAGTTATACGAGTTGAACTACTTATTTCTTACAAGTATATGACCCAGAACGGACCTCAGCAACTTGGGCTGGTCAATACCGAACCCCTATACGAGTTCTAAATTTAGGACTATTTTTGCTGACCAACTTGCTGTGTTAGAAAGCTTCAGCTCATTTTTCAGTAACTATACTGGACCCATAACAGTACTACAAAGTAGTAGTCAAATATCGTACGAAATGGCATACCTGCTCGGTACTACGGATATATAGATCCAGTAAAATAACGAGCACACAGTGGCGCCGGCTAGCAGGAAGTACCAGAACCTGAAATATTGAGTTCAAATGTGACCATTACATATGTAAAATCCTAGGTTACTGCAAAACTAAGTGGTCCGTTCCAAGAGTTGTGCGCAGCTCTGAGAGGGGCCCAATCTGATGGGCCCTTTCAGACGAACCCACGAAATCTTTTGGAACTGCCTTTGAATGATGCAATGAAGGCCACTTCAGGGGCACTTGTTGTCCCAGAATGACCTCTCGAAGGAATTTTTTGAATAATTTCGATGGTTTCTACTTTTTACCTCTACCAGTAATGACCTCTTACGTAAGAAGCGTGCAAATCTACCTAAACTTCTGTCGGAAAAGCCTGTTTTGGAATCTGATAGGTGCTGAAGCATAGGCAGTGTGGTGTTTTCTCGTTTATGGAGAAACTGGTAACAACGAGGCTATGCAGGAAATTGAGTCTGTCATCGGTTCTCGTCAAATGGCTAGATAAGTTCCTCCAAGATACAAGTCTGCCGAGTGAACATGGGCGATGAAGAGAGCGTTTTGCCTACTTGTATGCACTCAGTGACCCCATCGCTCCACTGATTTCTTTTTAAACGTCACATGCATGGCGCACCTCACGGCAGAGTGCATTTCTGCAGGTGAGATCCAAGAAAGCTTACTCCATGGGACCTCAGAGTTTGCCTCATGGGATCATTTAAGTGTTCCTACGCCTTCGAATGTCGTCTCGGCAGAAGGGGCTGATATCAGTATAGTTCCCTTTTCTTCTCTCCCGTCGAAATCGAGCCCTATATTCCGTGAAGGTAAAGAGCTGAGCTCAGAAGGCTTTGCGTCACCCCGGTATCCCGTGTGCATATGAGAGCCCTCGTCCAG